CTTGGTCGTCGTCGTCGTAGACGCACGCAAACACAGAAAACCAGCCAACCGATTCGCGGATAATTTTCGAACACCGTGTTAAAACACTTGATACGTTCCTCGTTCCTGCTCTCGACTTAATTTCCTATCGTGTGCGTGCGTGTGCCTGTATTAATGTTTGTGTGTGTGTGTATGCGTGTATCTGCTTGTTCGCGTACGTTCAATTTCGCGAGAAGCGACACAAGAATTCCAAAAAAGAAATCCGTGTGCATCGCGATGCGGGTCGCGAAACATTTAAGTACGTACGCGTAGCGAACATGTATGATCGTGTACCATGAATCGGGAAGTCTATCCTGAATCGCGTGTAGATCCTCGATAGAAGAACGATTCTACCGCCCGTTGATTGTGTTTGCTCGCGCGACGAGCAGGATTCAGATACGTTCCGCGACTCGGGGCGGAATTCTGTATTTCTTAACGATTAGAAAAATTTGTCTAGAAACAAACGTCTCGGTCTCGGCCCTCGTCCGAATACACTCGATATTTCTCCAAGTTTTTTCGGAACCAAACTACTCTCTATATATGCATTAATATACTTTTTTTTTTCTTTAATCATCAATTGATTTAGGTGAATTGGTACCTAGTTAAGTTTTGCTACAAGTATATCGATCGATTAGTGGGGAGAACTTGTCTGTGCACGAACGAGATCGCGTTTGCACGCCTCTCTTTCACACTCATTCTCTCTCTCTCTCTCTCTCTCTCTCTCTCTTTCGCTCTCTCCTCGTATCGTTTCCGTGCGTAGACGCGTGTACCACGAGCGTTGCGTTGCGGCACGCGCGGTAACGTTTCGATCGTTCGTGGATTTGCAAATTTTTGCCTAATAAAACCGCAGATAGCGTTCGTTCCGTCCGCTTCACGGCAATCGTACACGCGCCTGTAGATTCGCGTTAATAAATTTCTATCTGCCGCACGGATTAGATCCGTCGTTCCCTCGTTCACGCTAGAACGATGCCTTGCGTTTGCTCGAAAAATTACGCTACCTAACGCACACCCCCCTTTCGTTCGCTCTCTTTCTCTCTTTTCCTTTTTTACTATTTCCTCTCGATACGGTCGATCGATCGCCAGCCATTTTCATTCTCGCCCTGCCTTTCGTCCTCTCCCTTCTCAATCTTTCGCACACCCTTGTCGGGAATTCTCCTAAAACGTTTTTGGGTTCGTCACTCCCGTAGCTTCCACGAACATTTCCGAACTTGTCGAGTGCGTAAGTAAAAAGATTAAACGTTTATTTAGAATATTATCGTAGCAACGAATAGAAAAATTCAGTGTATGTTCGTTCTATCCACTAATTATGTGTATATACATAATGCGTACACCTCGACGAGCCTACCCCCGTGTGTTTTAGACTACGGACCATCTACGTTCACACGTTTCTCTATCTTTCGTCCCATCGCCGCCTCAGTTATATTCGTTAGCGAGATTTTCGAATTATAATACCGTCCACGTCGTTTACCCGGTCGTCGTCTCCCGACGATAGCGACGACGATCAGTGGTTTCCGTCTAAATACCTTCTATCTCTACCAATGCTTAGCCAAGGGGGCTTGGCCGAATGAAGAACGTGAAATAAATCCACGACTATTCACGAATATTTCGAACGTTCGTAATTATTAAACTACATGATTCGGGTTCGCGTCCCCTGTTGAACGCTCGCGGGTATCGTCACGAATTCCTACCAACGAAGGGACGGAGGGTCTTCTTCGACGCGATTTTTCTCTATTTCTCTGTCATCTCATTCTCGCCCAGTCTGTCCTCTGTTCACATACGATCATACGTACACACGCACTCTGTCGTGCATTCTCCCGTTTTCTCGCGCTACCGGTTTCTCTCGGGCGTACAGATCATACCTCGTGCGGTGCCTAAACGTCACCTAATCTACGGCGACAAGTATATACAAAAAAGAGTACCAAAAAAATAAATATATATGTATATATATATGTGTGTGTATATATATATATGTATATATAGATGCGGAGATTACTTTTGTTTGTCCATTCCTCGTTATCAGACGTACGCAACGCATCGGTTGATTCGCGATCGCTTTGGTTCTACCAATTCGTATAGGTGGGTGTTTATCGTTCAAAGAGTGGCTAAGCGTGTCGTGTGTATCTCTGTATGTACGTACGTATTTGTGTGTGTGTTTGTCTGAGTGTGCGTGTGTCTGCTCCGTGTATATTTCTGTTAGTGTATGAGCGTGACCGTATGGGAACGCGTACACGCGGGTTTGTGTCGTCAAAGAGTGTACTCGTCGTGCGAGGTTATACTACGAACTTACGGTTTCGACCGAGTGATAATGCTACGCATAGAAACGTCCATCTATTAAGCGAAACACGCGACGTTGCGTACAGGTCCCACGCGCGCTGCCGTCCCGCTCTTCGAACCTCGATAAATCGTCCGATGAACAACCAAAACCGTGGTCGTTCACGTCCATTTCGTAAAAGGCATGGGCGTTAACGATCGTTTCACGTTACTGTTTCCATTCCATCGTGGAAAAATCCACCGACGAATCACACGATTCACGTTTGAAAGCGCGGGCGGCGCCACGCTGGAACATGTCAGTCGTACAGAAAACTTGCTGCGCGCGCGATTTCCTCGCGAAGATTAAAACCCGCGGTGATTACGGCTGACTCCCGGTCGAGACGGGGGTTTCTTTTTGAACTACATCGATCGCAACACTGCGTTTGATTATATACACCGAGCGAAGAAATTCGTTACGATTGAGAAAACGTGTGTACTCGACCGGCGTTGCATCGCGCGGATCGTGTCCGTATCAAGAGGAATTCGGTATCTATGTACACAGGAGGGATCCATGCGATTTATACTATAAATCTAAGATTTTTCGCGCGGAACAAAATTTTTTACTCGTCGCACGCGTTCTCCAATCTTCTAACGGACGTATGAAGAGTAATTAGTTACGACCTCGTTCGCCGCCTCTTTTTCGTCTCGTCTCGTCGAGGACGAAGAAGAAGAAGAAGAAGAAGAAGAAGAAGAAGAAGGAGAAGAAGGAGAAGAAGAAGAAGAAGAAAAAGAAGAAGAAGAACAAGAAGAAGAGAAGAAGAAGACGTCTGTTCTTCTTCCCCGAAGAGCCGCGTCGTTTTCATTGTTCGCGAGGTCGAATCGCGAAGCCGTAGTTGTATACTTCCGCGAGAGACAACACGCGGCACTATTTCGTTTTGTCATTTTGTTTTTGTTTCAAAAAAAGGAACGCGGTAGTGACCCAGGTACCTAGAATCGTCGTTACGTTCTTGACCGTCGTGTGCTAATCATTTCCGGATTCGTCGGTGGAATAACGCGCGCGACTCGGAATCTGGATCGTTCTCGTTCTCGCGATCTCACGTTTCTCTCGGGGTGTAGCGTGGCTCTCTCGACGCAACCATAAATTTTGTACTCTCTTTTTCGATTTCTGAAAACGAGTTATACGTATCGTCCGCGCGTGGCATACGGGACGAAGACCTACACACACGGTTTTTGCTTTCCCCTTTTCCCCGTCGAACGACACTCTGGAAAAAGTGGCTCGCACCGGTTTCAAAGTATTGGCAGAGAATTTCGGTACGGTCGGACGCGATCGAGCGCTAAGCAAATTCGACTAACGACTTTTTAAATTGCCCGTCTACCCTTCGTCTCAATTTTCCTACACCATTTTATTTCTTCTTCTCTTTCTGTCTCTCTTGTACTCGCTCGCGTACATGTACACCATACACGCATGCATTCTCCCTTTCGTCCCCCCTCTCGCTCACTCTCTTTCTATCTTTCATTGTCTTCCCCTCCCCGTCATCCTTTCTCTCTCTGTTTCTCTCGCACACTTTTTTATACTACGACTCCCTCCGATTTTCATTAATTTTTGCTACGTCTCGCACTCGGTTAAGTTAATTAGTAAAAAATCATCTCTGTCTTCCGAATATTTCATCTACGAGCGCGAGTCGCGTTGTCCACGCGAAAAATCGAAGCGTGGATGATATTCATTATCTATTCAACATTGAATCGCGAACGGTTCGCCTCCTGTTTTTCACGTCTCTAGTTTTGTCTATCACTCTGTTCCGCGTTTCTACCAGCGCTCGTCTCAGCGACACAGCGACTCAGCGACTCTTTTCTTTTGATCTCTCTCTCTCTCTCTCTCTCTCTCTCTCTCTCCCTCCCTTTCTACGTCAATTTCAGACCTCGCAGCGTTGCGTCGAATCAGGTACTCGCTATATTTTTCTTACCAATTCATTTTCTTTTCTACGTCGCTTTCCTGGTGTTTGTCCTTTGAAAGGCGAACGCGCGCTTTCATTGACGGGAAAGTAAGCTGTCCGCGGGTTCGGCCGATGATCTTCTTCCCGATCGTCTTCGGAATTGCGAGAGACGATCCACGGAAGGCAGAGAGACGGTCTTCCATGTCCGTTACGGTGATACGTGTGTTCATCGTTCGCTTCTACAGCGAGGAAATGTCTCCCTTTCTTTGACGATTCGCTCGAAACGAAGAAGGGTATGATGGATGAGAAGCGGAGGAGAACGGTCTTTCTGGTGGTAGCGGGGCAGCATCCCTCTATGTGTGTGTGTGTGCGCGCGTGTGTGTGTGTGTGTGTGTGTGTGTGTGTGTGTGTGTGCTCGCCGTGAAAGCACGTTCTCCGTGCTCGATTCGCGAGCAATTCCGACACTACCTGTGCTCGGTACGCCGCGAGGAAAACAGAGAACATCGCGACGGGCACGGAGAAGAAACCGAAGATCTTCGAACTGGTCAGACATCTCGGTTACGAGTCGAACGGACAAAGTGCTTTCACAACGACTAACGGACACTACGTATGAATGGCCGATATACTGCGAAACCCTGTCCGTTTTCTCGACCGTTCCATCTGGACGCGCACAATTTCTCCCTTTACCGTTGCTGGTGACAAAGTGTCTTCCTTTATCCTCCGGCGATGGAACTCTCTTCCTTCCGTGTGCACCGATGTATCGTTTGAGAATCGAAGATCGGCGCGACACCGAGAGGATCGGCTGGCGGGGAACGAACAGCGGCTGGATATCTCTCTTCGTCGAGTAACTGGTAAATATGTCCAAGTAGCGGTGGAGTAGAAGTAACTTGTCGTAGTAGAATAGTAATTGTGGTAGTAGTGATAGAGGAGTAGTAATAGTAGTAGCGATAATAGTGGTAGTAGGTAGAGTAGTGCTAGTACCGACACGATCGAGTAGGTAGTAGTAGAAACATTGATATCGGATTTGTGTCTCGATAGATAAAGTGGTAAAGTGTTCGAGGAGGTGAGGCGGACTGTTGGACAGGTCTGGAAGGTGAGTGTTGGCGTGGGTGAGGAGAGTGTAATGATTGGTGGTGGAGTCTCGCGAGAGGAAGGGGGGATTCGTAGAAGTGGTAGTTAATTAGCTAGGGTTGCGAGATAATTAGGGACAACGCAGCTGGGGTTAACACCAGCGGTAAGGCACGGCTCGAGGCCGATCCGCGCCCTCCTTTACCAACGGTTTGTGGAACTCTCGACCCGGTCGAGAGTGAATCGTTGCCCAGCAATGCTCGCAATAGTACTGAAACAATAAAAATCCTTTGTTGATTCTTTTTTCATTGTTTCGAGAGAAAGAAGCGGCCAGTCTTTTGACTAGGACTTACCTGCAAGCAGGTGACGTTGGCGCAGAAGAACGGCGCGAATTTGCCTCCGCAGCGTTGTCCTTGACATTCGTCGCACATCTGATCGTCCAGAACGTATGGTTTAACTTCGACCTTGGTACCGGAAGGAAAGATGCGTTAAACATTTTCGACGGCGATACGAACGATCCACACAGGGAACAGATGAGACACTCACCCTTTTGTCTATGTCACCGTGCTGGAGCTGCACGAATCTGGCGGATATGGCAGCTATGTAGCTTTGCTGATTACTGAAGGCGACCCTGCCGGCTCCTTTCGGATACTTGAGCTCGGGATCGGTGTCGATACCGGCGTAACAGACGCCACCGTAAAGCCTGTCCATGATCATCGCCAACTCGACGGCTTTCAGCGGTCGTGGAACACCGCCGACGAACACCGTTTTCCGCGGATCAAGCGGCATCGAGGCGTCCAGGACGAAGTCTGCGTCGCTCAACCGCCATGGTCGAATCTGTACCGGTTTGTCCTTGGTGGTCGGCGAGCTTACGCACAGATACAGTTTCTCCTCGTCTTGGATGCACGCGTCGATCAATTGTTGCACGGAAGCTTCATCCTGCGATCGATAAAGAAAACTCGTTGGATCACGTTCGATCGCGACGACCATTGTATTGCATACACTGGCATACAGGTTCGCGGCCGATTCGATGGACAGTTTCGTTGTTGCTGGTGTCGCCGTCGTCGTCGTCGTTGTTCGACTACTTTCACCGACAATAGAAAACACACCGGCAAAGAAACGCTCGATCGCGAGAACGTTTCGCGTTCGATGACTTTTGATATACATAGTTACCTGGAAAAGAAGGAAAGCGTAGCCCTTTGGTGGAAAGTAGGATTTACTCTCTGCTTTGTGCGGCCAGTCGACGACCAACGATCCAAAACGACGAAAACTGGCTTTGATCTCTTCTGCGAAAGGAAAAATTGTACCAGGCGTGTGAGCTTTCGCTGATCCGAAAAATACTAATTCTGCCCTTTCAATCGTATACGCGTACCTTCGTCGATGTCCGGCGGTAATCCACCGACAAATACTTTTCTAGAAAAGCGTTCACCGGTCTCGCTACCCTGGCTGTGAGGACTGCTTCGGCTCGGCGACGAGAGCGGTGCCACCTGGGAGCCGGTTATTCCGCCACCGACTCCCACACCGACGCCAACTCCGACGCCGACGCCGACGCCGACGCCGACGCCGACGCCGACACCGACGCCGTCCAGCTGATTCGGCGCGTTCGGATCCTCCAGCAGGGTTCCGCTCTGCTCGTCGAGACTAGGGAAGAACGGTGATTTGCCTGCAACGAAAGAAACATTCGAGCTCACATTTCTCGTGTCTTGCTTCGTTTCGATCCAATATATTCACGCGTGACGTGATCTACCGTGTCACGAAAGTGGAGGAAAATTGCAAAGTAGCTGTCGCGGGTCGATGGAAAACAGAAAATTCGATAGAGACGAGACGGAAGGAGAACGGTTAGATTCGGAGTAGCGGTGACGCGGCGACGCGAGGTTGCGCAGAGTTCCGTGACTCGGGATGCCGAAAAACTCACTGTATCTTCTTCGAATGGGGAACCTCACTCTCCTGACGAACGTTGCCATGCCGTGTGAATCTTTGTTCCTTGTGGGAAATACCAGGAATAAACGGGCTGCTCGTTTCTCGTTGTCGTTAACGGGAAACAGAAAATGGACAAGGCACGCAATCAAACAATCGAGAGGAAGCGGACGTCGCTGGTTTCGCGAAACAGTCGAACATGATCCCACTCGGCGTTCATTTTTTTTTCCTTCCCGACGGAGAAGCAACGCGAGGGCGTCCCTTTGAACTGTGTCTTTTCTTTTTTCTTCGTGTTCGGTGGTCGAAATCATTTCTAATTCAGGGGCGTAAGTCATCGAACAAAGAGAAATTTTATATCGAGCTTTCGAGCATCAGTTTTCGATATCGTAGCCGATCCGTGCCGTTTGGCGCCACGAGATTTTCAACCAGCTCCACAGAGCCCGTTCGATTTTACCCGTTCGAGAGGTGCAGTATCGATTACTCGAGTCGGGTCCTCGAGCCACGAACAAGCTACCGGCTCACGATTTCCCATCAATCGCTGCCTGCGCGTTACTTCTGCCGCCGGGGCGTCGATCGGAAAGAGCCAATGGATTTCTTGCCAGCCAACACCTCACATACATACCTAACACCATTTTCCTGCGCGTTTTCCACGATTCTCGCCATATATTCGCGGTTACGAATACGTCGATTATGCTAACAGGGGACGCGTAATCAGATCGAAACGAGAAGTTGTGGATTACTTTCAGAAGTATTCGTCGCATCGAGCGGAATCGAGCTATTCGCGACTCTGAACGCCTATTTTTAGGGCGAAACGGGGATGATGCTGGTCCGGATAGCGATATAGGTCGCGCCGATATTCGACTCCGCTGTCTTTTTGAATCTGTACCAATTCGATCGAGCAGTCGTGTGCAACTGTATCGATACTTGAAAATCGGTGAAAAAATGTTCGTCAGTGTCCTTTCATCGAATCAGAAACGCAAGGACCATTCGTTTGAATCGCCACAAAGACGCGCGTTTATTCTTTCATTAACGGTGTCGACGTATCGATTATTCTCAAAGCTCTTTCTGAAATTAAGCCCTCGATATCTTTTAGCGATCGTCTTTGGACGGGGATTTAATGGAGCGCGGAAATGAACTCACCGGCACGGCGACAGTTCGAAGAAGGGCAAAACGAGATTTAATCCGCGTCGCAGCTAGGCAGGGGTGAAAAATAGGTAGGTAGTCGCGTGACGTTTCATCGACGCCGGAGCCTGACTGGCGCGGCCAGCGTGCTCGTATCGATTGGAAGGTTTTAGGCCCCCGGGTCTTCCTTCCTGGTAACCCTGAGCCTCGAATCCTCGTTAATCATCCGGCAACCCCGGCAGGAGAGTTTCGATCGGGTCCGAGGGTGGTAAGGTCTATCATCGTTCTTCTCGTGCCCATTTTCTCGGACAGTTTCCAAGGGATTCACGTCACGTGGACGGCGAGCAAAACGTTCGTCGGAGAAATCGCAGACCGGCGTCACGCGAGCAGAAACGGAACAGGAGGGTCGGCGGTCTGGATCGATCCGCGTCGCTTTTTTACACGTTAGGAGCACACGCTTCAGCCGTGGAAACGGTGACGTTCATCGTTCGCTCTGGTCGTTTCGGTAATTTTTTTTTCTAGTCCGGGGTTTTCTCGCAACACGGTCTGCCGCGCGATTTCGTTACGCGTCGAGGGTAGAATTCGTCGAGTGGAGGGTCGAGGCTGTGCAAGGAAACGAAGAAGAGGGATGGTGATGGTGGTGGTGGTATCGACGAGGCTGCGGGAGAGTGCAAGGGTCCAAGGGACCAAGGGACAATGCGGGCCGATAGGTTGCTCCAAGGTCTGTCACAGCGCGCGCCACCCCCTTCAAGGGGAGAACCAGCGACTCGAGGCTTAATCACGATTCGACAGGTTCTACGACCCTTTCGGGCGATCGGTCGAGGCGAATATATCCAAGTCGGTGCATGCGTGATCGCGATACGTAGAGAATCGACTCGAGACACGAAACGGGGCGAGGGTTCAGGAACGACGAGGGGGGCACCAAGAGCCGGGTGTCGGCCGCGGAATAATCTGCACGGATAATCACGGTTTTATCGCGAGGGTCCCGGCAGCCGGTTCGTGATCGCGCGCTGGCTGGCTGGCTGGTTGGCTGGCATTTCGGCGAACTTGTTGTCGTTTTCGCGATCCAGCTCCCCGGCCAAAATTACTTAACGTTTTCCTCGTGGCTCGACGAGCGTGACTCACCGTTGGTATGCCTCCTGCGTCAGCACGACGCTGCCTCCTTTTGCACGCGGTTCGTGCTCATCCGCCTCGTCGTTTCGCGTTACACACGCCGCGCCGCCGGGAACTAATCGAAACGGCTTTGGACGCGCGCGAGGCTTCGAACCGTTCACGCTACACTCCATTTAGTTCCACGCGAATTACTTGTTCGTGTATTACAATTCGGTGGTGTGGTACCCGTACCAACCGGGAAAATGGGGAATTAATTAAAGGAAAACGTCCAGTCGAATTAGGGTCGAGAAATGGCTGCGAACGTGGTAGCAGCTGTGTTCGCAGGAGGGTTGTTCGAACAGATTCGAAAAGCATTATTTCTTTCTCGTAGTCCGAACCGACGCATTAAAACGTTATCGCGACCGCGTTGACGATCGTTATCGACCGATTATGGAAAGCGTGTACAGAGAGAGTCAAAGGTTCGAGATATTTTTAGGAGAACATGAATCTCGATATCTGAACGAGTCACGGTTCTCGAGAAGATGAAGTCCCGGGCTACCGTCGTAAACGCGAGGGAACGAAAAATTTTCAACGATCTCACCGAAAAGAATCGTCGGGGCGGGGAGATAACTCGTTTCGGTATCTACCAGGGGTTAGATAGGGGTTATCCTCGCCCTCTAATTGGTCCCTTTCCGAATTGATCGCGGCCGAGGGAAACGGTGGTTGGCTCGCGTCTCCCTCCGTCGTTGCCAGTCCCTCGTCGGGTTTCACCGAAAAAACTGGGGAGAAGGGAAGAAGGAAAAGGGCGAAGCATAAGTAAGCAGCCCAGAAACGATTCAAAGCCACCGAAAACCAGCATCGTTTTCGTTTCGACGCTCGGCGACAGTTATGGAACATCCCTGTAACGCGCGACAACACTGCCATCGCTACGAGCTTGCACGGATCAATATTACAGGTAGCTCTCTGGCCCCCGACACACCCGTTCTTGTTGTCGTTCCCGTTCCCGTTCCCGTGTCGCCCTTCGTTCGTCGACCAACGATACACTTCCTCCACGCCACCCCCAAAACGTTCAACGCGGGTCCGATTTCGCTACTGTGCAATCGGCGCAGCTATTTACGTCAGAGCAGCAGCAGCAGGCTTTTAGTACACAAGGAAGCAGCTCGTACGAGTCTATGTAGTCGCAGTTCAGAATGGACACGTTACACACGCGGATGGAAAGCTAACGTAACTGTACACCGACCTGTACAAGCGACAAAAATCAAGTGGGCAGCTGATACGGGCTGTTCGAAGACAGGTGTGGGTGTATCGCCAGGCGACTGATAGCATTATGCGAGCGCTAGCCCCGGATAGGGGTCAGATACGTCACGGGCACGTGCTGTCGCGTATCGCAGACCGAAAGGAGGCTCCGAGTCCACCTACGGCGCGAACAATTCTGTCCTTTTTAACGAATGTACAGGAAATTTCTTTCTGTCCAGAAACCGGAATAAACCGTGACCACGTATTTCCTTCTATTTCGGTCGTGTCGCGATCTAGTATCAACTGGAAAAAATAGCGTTTCCCAAGTTCCGCGACCAACAAACCATTCGAAACCGCGTAAACGCGCGCGGCAGCGAATCGAGGTTAATGCCCTTTTCCAGCCATTAGCCCGCTCGCTTTCCTACCAATGGCTCCGCGGTGCGGCGTTTCTCTGACGTCCCAACGACGATGCAACGCGAGTCGCGAGTGCCATTGTGCTGCTTCCCTTCGTTTTTCAATAGGTAGTTAGATATACGTATAGATAGGTATGTATTTCTTGTCTGACCACGGAGAATCACGTAACCATGTCCTGTGCAGAGGCAACGCGGATCTACTCCGATGTCGTCGAGCTCGTCGAAGAGCCGACGTGATTGTGAAATTGTATTTTACGCGCGGCAGGGGTAGTAGCGTGCTTCAGCGTCACGATGCATAATGAATCACGCACAGGTTGCCCGCCGCGAAACGCTGCGCTTTTCCGCGTGACCAGCTTTTAGGACAGGATCGATAAAAATACAAGTTTCCCTGCCACCCTCCGCAGTGCCGTGCGCGCTGTTCCACAGAGGGTAAGTAACTGGACACCGCTTATTTCGGGGACCGCGGCGAGGGCTGCCAGTGGGAAACGGACGGTTGGTCACGCGACTTTTTACGAGCAGTATGCAAATGATGGCCGCGTTTACGCGATAAACCCTCTTGCCAACTGTTATTTTCATATCGATACGGGACCCCCGTAAATTCGAAGCAACGATTTCGAAAGAGACCTCGGTTGTTAACGGTCCATCGATCGAGCCTGTTTTCAACCGAATATTAAAAGGCAGGGAAACGGCACGACGTCAACGATGGCACACAGAAGCGCTCCTCCATCTAATCCAATTTCGAGAGTAAAAGGGGAAAAGCCGGTTACGTAGGAAGAAGAGGGTTTATCGTAATAATCGGCCATTGTTGAGGGAATATAATGAACGTTGTCTCATGGACGACGCCGGGCTATTCTTCTCTCATGACGTTCTTCCTGTCCTACGC